TATATATATATATATATATATATATATATATATATATATATATAATTTACATTTTATATACATTGGTGTTCTGCCTGCATATATGTTTGTATGAAGAACAGGAGTTATAGACAGTTGTGAGTTGCCATGCGGGTACTGGGATTTGAACCTGGGTCCTCTGGGAGAGTAGCCAGCACTCCCAACCATTGAGCCATCTCTCCAGCCCCTGATCTTTACTTTTTATATTTCTCAAAAAGATACTCTAATGGGGTGTGCTGGTCCCCATTAATCCCAGCACTCAGAAGGCAGAGACAGGCAGGTCTTTCGGAGCTCCAGGCCATCCTGGTCTACATAGTTGAGTTCCAGGACAGTCAGGGCTACAAAGTGAGACCCTGTCTAAAACAAAAAACTCTTTAACTCCTGACTCATCTGGATTCCACGACCTTACAAAAACAACTTTCAAAATAAATAATGAACAATTTTTTGTTTGTTTTCATCATTCTGTACTGCCTCTCTGCACCACCACCCCTTTTTGGCAAAATTATATCTTATCTCAAGGCTTTTATACATTCTGCTCTGCCTATAAAAATCAAGTCGCCCCACCCTTTAAACAACTTTTTGCCTTCTCATTTTAATTACCTGTCTCTTCTAACCATACTCTGCCATACACTTGTCCCCCTAAATCATTCACTGCCTCTACAATTTTTAATTTCTTTACTTTCTACTTTTTCTCATGAGTTTTATTGATCATGTCCACCAAAACAGCTTTATAATGTTAGTATATAGTTTCATATACTATTTCGTTATTTCACAAAGCAGATTCCCGAGTATCTGTAGAATGAGACTCTGGAGCATAATACCTCGACGGCACGAGCACAGTCAACACAGGTGAGCCCAGCTATTATGAAATCTCTTGCCAGTTCTCTGCTGTTCTCTTTTTGAGATAGGGTGTCTCTGTGTGCCACAGGCTGGCCTTGAACTATGTGGCCCAGGATGACCTGTTAGGTCTCAGGATGCCCGCATGCCTAGAAATGAGCTCAAGATGGACTATGGGAGGACCTCTGGTGGTTAGAGAAAAGCCAGCACTCCTCAAGAATTTGTGGAACTGGTTCCTATCTGCCAAAAGGAGTCAGCTCCCTTCCCTCTGGCAGATGGAACACATGGCTACTTGTGGCTGCACACCAAAGCCCACGCCAGCCTCCAGGCACCAGTGGGCAGTCCCTACTCACAATACTGTTCTGCATTTCAAAGCCCACAACAGTCTCCTGGCCCTTCCCTCCCTGAAGCTACTCACCCTCTTTATAATCTGCTATTCTCTACTTCTGCCACACTCACTCCATCTCTTGCTTTCCTCCCCTCCCCCTCTCTTGGTATCTCTCCCCCTCTCTTGCTATCTCTCCCTCTCTGGCTATCTCTCTCCCTCTCCTTCTCTGGCTATTCTGTTTCTTGCTATCTCCACTACTCTCCCCAGCCACACTCTCTCCACTACTCTCACTTCCCCAGCCCTGGCCATGAAAAGACCGCTTCCTTTTCTCTCTGCTCTGGACTCTTTCCGTTGGCTCTGGATGTTCTCTCTTCTCTTCCCCCGATGCAGCCATGTCGGCAGTTTCCTTATTGGGCCCCTCACATGCCACTTCAACTTTACAGCAATCCCACTGCCTCAGTACCTCAAGTGCTGGGATTGCACATATGTTCCAGCATGTCTGCATTACAATTTTGAAATTTCAAATCTCAGACAAATAGTACTCAACGAGCTTGAAAATGTCTACTGCACTGAATCAGGTCATTTTACCTCACACACAGAGACTCACACTTGCACACACAGACACTCACACTTGCACACACAGACACTCACACTTGCACACACAGACACTCACACTATCTTTTCAGGCCCTCTTGGCAG